TGAGTTGCTGTCACATAAAAGTGATCCAGCTGAAATGTGTCCCAAATCATACTGATCCCAATAAGCCTCTGATGCAATTCTATGGCTGCTTGTTTGAGATACAAGCAAAAGGTTTCCATTGTGAATTAGATGTCAGACAATATTTCTTCTTCAAAGCACAGTCCGGAATTACTAGTAATTTCTACCATGAGGCACATACTGGCATATGTTCAATCATATTCTTGTTCAAAGAATTCAAGATCCTTTTCCCTAACAAATGCAACCTATGCTGTTGTTGGCATTGTTTTATTTGCATGACCTTTGTCAACATTTTCCAAATTTTGCTAATTAGGACTTCAGTCATTAAAGACCTAGATAGATGTGTCAGGATGAAAAGAACCAAGAACAATGTTTTATTACAAATTATTAATTTATCTGGAATCTTTAAGCTTTCTAAAGCGAACACAGATTTGGCATCTGAAATATTAGACCTTTTAAAGAGTCTTGGTTGTCAGAAAATTCATTTCAACAACAACCTTCCCATAAGATTAGATGTGCATTTAACATATTTTTTGCATGTTAGTACTGTACCTATAAAAGCATCCATTGTGTAGACATCCGAAAGCCCCATGGTACTGCCATCAGTGATTTGTTGTGATGTCAACACCCCCAGCAGACTCAGAGCTGTTAACATGTTAAGATGTTTAAGCTACGTAAAAGGTTATGTAGGGAGGTAAGGGGAGAGGTAGAGGAGCTGGGTCAGAACAGAAAGTAAAAAAAAGCATCCAGAGGAGGAGAGGGCTATGACGTGCAGGAAGGGAGGAGACTGTGTTAGGGAGTTAGATATTCCTGGAGTAATCAAATGTGCTAACAAGCCTGTGAATAAAAATAATTTATGAAAATACTGCGTGTAAACTTGATTTTTTTTTCTGCGTTTTAACTGCAATCTTTAAGCTTAGTGGCAGGGTCTCTTTAAAGCATTGGTGGGGGACAGCATGCTGGCCAATCAGCCATCCAATTAGTATTATATACAGTAAAAAAAAATCACAGAAAGACTTCATAAAAAGTGCTATAAATGCTGTGTTGAAAGCTTTTTTTAAGGAATCATGTGATTTCTAGACATAATGGCAAACATATGGAAGCCCTGAAGTTATCGTTCTTGCTTTATTTAAGAGATTGTAGGACAAGGACAACCAGACATTTCAGGAACTGAGTGATCTGCTTCATGAGCTAGAATTTGCAAATTATGACCTACACTTTCAAGCTCTTAGCTACTTAGACACTACACCACTACAGTGGTAGTAAAAGTGCCTATGCCTAAGTACAAGAACCATGTGCCTAAATAAAAGTTTAGACATGCTATTTCTGTCAGAAAGACAGGAATTGCACCAACTGCCGCCAATATCGGCGTACAAGTACATGTACAGATACTTTTCGAGCTCCAAGACTAGACTAGACTAGAGAAAAATGTTAAAGTTAGGAGGCAGCTGTCATTTTTAGGGAGCAATACCGAGCTCCTGGGATTTGTACATCTCTGTTTTAATGTATGAAAAAGCTGGTTTTATAGTACTGCATTCTTTTAGCAGTTGATTGCACGACTGCAGGTCCTGGGTTATTTTGGCTGTGAGCATAGCCACTGTGTTGCCTCTATCAGCCCATTTTGTTGTTGTTTAGTGCTATGCATTAGGCCTTAGTACATTCCACTGTTTCCTTCTCCCATTATGCACTAGCTAGGCTAGGCGTCTGTTATTGTCATTCCCTGCTTCTCTTGCTCTCTGCTACTTTTGTTTCTGCTCTTATGGCGTAAACAGCTGTGTTAAAACAGAGTTAGAAGGCTTATTTTTCAGTGATGCTCTTTGACCTTCAAGAGATGCTCAGAAAACATCCTTGTAACATTTCAAGTCTGGAAAAAAATACATTGGATTAGACTCTTAGAGTCTTCATGGTAAAATTTACATAGATAAGATTCCAAGATATGGTCAACTGCATAAAGCAGTATTTTAAACAAACTTACCCATGCAGCTTGTTCATTTAAGAAACTATCTCCTTCACTCTAATATGTAATAAAATGCCCCTGGTCATAACCAGGGGCATAATGTAAAGTAAAATTACATAATTATTAAATGTTTTAAAGTGCTATACTAACTACTGTATATTCTCCATTTTTACTTTGGTACACTTGTAACATTTACTAATAATAATTCCAGCCAGGTCTTTGTCATATGCATTGTGTATGCTACTTTCCAGGGGCTAATGAGTGACAAATTGATTTCAAAACAAATGTGGGTGCAGTCATTATGGCAGTTGGAATAATTGCATTAATGAGAGAGTAATGGTTTTGTCAACCAAGATACCCTGTATACACTGAGTGGCCAGATTATTATGACCACCCCATCAGTACCTCGTTGGGCCACCTTTTGCCTTCAATACTGCGGCGATTCTTCTTGGCATTGACTCCACGAGATGTTGAAAGGTGATGCGAGGAATCTGACACTATGCCTGATGAATAGCACTGTCCAGTTCTGTGAGATTTGATGGTTGTGGAACCAGCTGCCTGATGGCTCTTTCAAATTCGTCCCGCAAATGCTCAATTGGATTGAGATCTGGTGATTGTGGGTGCCACCTAAGCAAGGTAAAGTCTCCCGCATGTTCTTGAAACCACTCCTGCACAATATGAGCACCGTGGCATGTGGCATTATCTTGTTGGAAGACGCCATCTCCATTGGGATACGCCATCAACATGATAGGATGAACTTGATCAGCAACGATACTTTGGTATGTTGTGCTATTCAGACGTTGTTCCACATGAATTAAAGGGCCCAAATCATGCCAGGAAAACATGCCAAAAATTCTAAAAATAATAAAAATAATCTAAACTTGCTGCTGTGGAAGAATCACACAGCAAAAATGTAAAAAAGTGTGTCAGTCATTTAGGAACAGAAACTAAAAACTAGCTCAGTCATGAAGGGGTTAAACCATAACACTGCCCCCACCAGCTTGACGGGGTTGTGCTCATGCATGTCGGATGCATGCTTTCATGCTGTTCCCGCCAAATTCTCACTCTGCCATCTGCATGATGCAACTGGAAACGTGATTCATCGGAACACATCGGACTTTTTTCCAATGCAAGACAGCTGTATCTCATCTCTGTAGCTAGGCAATCTACTGGAACATGATATACACAACCAACTGATTTCAGGACACCGCGCGGCTATCAATACCTTCCTAAAGTAACAATCACAGAGTTGACGTATAGAGACTATTAAGTGTATTTTCTGTATAATCTTTCATCAGGAACACTGCAGATGTTTTCAATAACCCAACACTATATAGTACTTTCCTTTTCCTTAAACTTGTGAGGAAATGTGTACCCCAAAGACATACTGATAGCAGCAAGGAAATAATATCACTCAGAACAGATAATAAAATGTTCATGTTATATACCAGATCAATATAAACACACCTAACTCTTAACCACCCAGTAAACAATATAAGCTCAAGCTTCAAGCCACAATATTATTTCCTAAATTCAATTAGTTTCATTCTTTAAGGAATGTTGTATCATAGAGATTCTATGTAAAATTACTTTACCTCACAAACTGGAAAAAAAACTCCAAAATGGGTTAATGCATTATTGCCTTTGCTAGCTTCTAAAAATGTAAGTTGGCTGGCTGTTCTGTTGACTCACTGACTTCAGTACAAGCCAAGTTACAGGTTGGAACAAGTGTGCAGATAAGAAATAGTGATGAGCCGTACACCCCCATGTTCGGTTCAAATTCAATCTTTTCCTATGTTTTTCGAACATAGGAAAAGTTTGAATTCGAACGCATACTCAATGCAAGTCTATAGGGATAGAACTTTGAAAATCAAATGTCCGCATTTTGAAGCCTTATATGCAATGTATTGGCCATAAAAAGTGTATGGGTATTTGGCTACCGCCCTGGGGGACAGTAATCAAGGAGCAGTCATTTTAACATCACCTAAATGGTAACAAAAAAAATTAAAAAGAGCAGTGACAGCTAGCTCCACCCAACTGTTTACAGTTGTAACAGGTGAGCCATGATTGGGCAGAGTCATCATGATTTTGCCCAATCATGGCTTTCACAGTTCTCTGTGCCCTGATTGGGCAAAGTCTTGCACCTGACAATTATGGCTTCAGAAGGTGCCTTGCATTATGGGGCGCTCCATGGGCGAATATCCCGCCGAATGCCCTGATAGTTCATACGTTCGGAAAACACACAAACTAGCGATGTTTGAGTCGAACGCATGTTCGGCTCGAACATCGAGCCCATCACTATTAAGGAAAGTCAGACTTGCCTCAGGAAATGGATCAAAGTACTAACACAAGAGTGCCATCCTGACATCCAGGCAACTTGAGTTTTCTGAAGGATAATTCAACAATGGCAGCCTATGTGTTTTCTTAAGGGTTTTCTTATGAACACTGCTTGATGCCATGAGATGTGTGCACTTTGATAAGTATGCTTGGTGCTCGGGGAATGTTCAATTCAAAATAAACAGATATGTTTATTATATTAATTAAAGGCATGTCCAAGAAAATTATTTGACTATATTGTAACAAAAATATCTAATGGACAGGAAGTAAAGGGAAATCTCCCCAATGGCAAAAAAAAAGCTAATAGGGAGGGTTATAACCCCTAACTCCATCCAAAAGAAAAAAACTTTAAGGCTCTTTAGAATCCTTACAATCTGGAATGTCTGTAAAATGGCAAAAGCTTGAAACTAAGCAGAAAAAGGGAATCTGAATGCCCTAAAGCAGGGTTAGTGTAGGGCATCTCCGGCCCTCCAGTTGTTGTGGAACTACAAATCCCATGATGCATCTTTATATTGCTGTAAGAATCTTGCAATGCCTCATGGTATTTGTAGTTCCACCACAGCTAGAGGGCTGGAATTTGCCCACCCCTGCCTTAAAATAAAGTAATTCATAAATGATTGATAAATCTGAAATCTTGTGTGAAGAATCTTAAGCTCATACCTTACACAAGTATTTTCTCACATTTTAGGTACATGGAGAACTGAAGCAGTTTGCAAGGCAAATGAAGTGATTGCAGTTGATAAAGATATCTCTGTGATAAGCGCAGCGACTCTCAGTGTAAACCCATGCACTGCATATAGGATGCTGACAGACTTCATGACTTTGAGACCAGGTAAGGTAAACTTTGCACTTAAGCAGACATTGATTTGTCTAGTGAATTTTTCCACACTATGTCTGTCATGTTCAGTGTATAAAAAATTCAAATAATCTATAAAGTTAAGTTTATATTAGATTGCATTATATTATTACATGTATGAATCGTAGCGAAAAAGCCTAAATAAATAATTTATTTCAAATCTGTACTTTAAAGCTATAGAAACGTTTGTGGAGGTTCTCTCTCATTTGTTGTCATGGTGTCTACAGTCTCCAGGGCAGGAAATCAAGTTACATATTCCAACAAGGACGCAAACAGCAGTTTGAACCTGACAGTGGTTCATCACCTAACTTCAAAAAATTGTTTTCCTTTGTTTAACTTAGGGCTCATTCTCACCAGATGCTGCACTAATCGCAAAGGGTCTGGTATGCGGCGCCTCAGAACAGTGCCGAACTGCTCATCCCAGCGCATCGCACAGTGTTTTTTTTTGTTAGAACTCCATTGAAATGTCAAAAGTGACATTTCATTCAGTTGTACAGGCACAGCAGGGTGGGAGGCGGTTGTACCGTGTCGTATCCCGCTGGGTTGATAAAAGGTAAGGCATGCTTTACTTTTTTTCAGTGCACACCACCACATTTCTACTGCAAACTCGGTGGTATAAATGGGCACCATATGTGCAAGGCAAATGGCCTTATACATTATAAGGCAATAGCGGTATTAAGGGCACAGTAAATGCAGCTGCATTTCTTACATTTATTGCAAGAAAGTATCAGTATCAGAAGTCAATTTATCTTATTCAAGGAAGCAAGGAAATCTCCAAAAAAGCTCACTGGCACAGCTAAACACACAGGCCTTCCCCAATGGGTGCCCAGAAGCATCTCAAAGTATAAACATACAAATGCACATTAAACCACAATGAGTCCAATGTGCTTTAATTGTCTGTAATGTTGTCACATAAAACAACCAATAGGGCTTAGAAAGATTGAAAAGGGGACATTAATAGACTCAAAGGAAACTATAACCAAATAGATCTATGTTTGATCCGGTTGCAAAACTTCCTTTGGGATCGGAATTTTGACAGTGTATTTAGCAATAGGCTGAATACTTTATTAGAATTCCAAGTTTTACTACTTTCTGGGACTCCATTGCAAAGATTTGCCCTCACTTCCTGTTCTGCTGACAATGGTTTCACAAGACAGGAATAAGGGAAAAATCTGCAACAGGGGCACAGAAAGCAATAAAAGGCTTACAGGGTCTTAGCCGTGCCCTACTCTAAAAAAGTGTTGTATTTATGTCTCCCTCACTAGGGGTTCTAACCCTTCATCATAAAAAATGTTGTGGCTGGGTATACCCTTAAAGCTCAGGACTAAACAAATATGTTTACAAACAAAAGACATTTTTATCACTTGAATCTTGTTGTGCTTGTGTATTTCTTACAGATCTGTGCAGTGATCCAGTGTGAAACTTTACCCTTGTACAGGAGCTTCCTGTAATAAAGACTAGTCACTGCTGCTTTCTCTCCTTGTGCAGGGTGACTGGTCTTGTCACAGCCCCTTCCTGTAGTTTTCTGCAGGTAGCCTGTAGTAAGTGGGCCTAATGGGTCCTTCCCACAGCTCTGCACTCTGCACAGTAATAATGTACCGTATTTTTCGCTCCATAAGACACACTTTTTTTTCCCCCCAAAAGGAGGGGGGGAAATATGCCTGCGTCTTATGGAGCGAATACCTATCGCCCGACGCCCTGGACATGCCGTTTCGGGCGCCGGGCGAGTAGTTTCTTTTTGTACATTCAGCCCTGCTCCTGACAAGCACAGCTGAATGTACAGTGGGAGCCGCTGCTCCTTTAATACAAGGGATCTAATTAGATCCCTTGTATTAAATCGAGTGGCGGCGGTGATCGTGTCCGCCCCCCGCCGTAGTTTTCGGGGTCCCCCGCTCCTCTGGGGGACCGTGACCCGTCAAGGTCCCCCATAGGAGCTCAACATAGAGCCCTTTAAGCAGACGAAGAACTTCGTTCTTCGTCTGCTCTGTGTGATTACTAAGACAGCGCAACCTGTCTCAGCGGTCACTAACTGCAGCTTCTGTGACAGAATTTCTGTCACAAAAGCCCTGCGTCCTATCATCCGGTGCGTCTTATAGACCGCAAAATACGGTAATTGCTACTTTTACAAGGTAATCTGAGTTAGCAAGGGCATTTAGTTCAAAAAGTGTTTTATATAGTGTGTGGCTGTTAATACATATAAATAAAAATGTTGTACTTAGAGTCCAGCATTACATGTAAATCTCAGACAAAAAGCAATGTCTATTGACTTATTTTAGCTATCAATGTTGTATAAAAATTCAGAAAGGGCAAAGGCATCCATGTTTGTTGTTTTTCCCATGCCAGCCAGGACCATAGTATACACCTAAAAAGTGCTCCTGAGTCCTGATCAGTTTGTACTTCAAATGCATGTAAGATTCTAGAAACTATCATTACGTACCTGGCACACACACATGTACACGACATGAGATATATAAATATATATATATATA